TCCACATCAATTAACAAGAATAGAAAACTATACAGCATGGAGCAATTCTATGAAGGTTGCGTTATTGGTGAAGAACAAATTAGGGTTCATAGACGGGACGTGTTGCAAAGAAGATTATAAAGGCGACTTAGAACATGAATGGGAACGGTGTAATGCTTTCGTTCTATCATGGATCACTAATTCTGTATCGAAAGAGTTGGCAAATGGAATGATGTATTCAGCTAATGCCACCAGTATTTGGATGGACCTTAAGGAACGATTTGACAAAAAAAAACTTGACTAGAGTTTATCAATTGCTCCGTGAAATCTGCACCATAAGTCAGGGCACTTCAGTATCGGAATATTACTCAAAACTGAAGAGTGTTTGGGATGAATATTGGTCCATGGTACCTTTGCCATGTGACTATGCAAAGCATAAAGCGTACGCAGAACATATGGAACATCAGAGAGTTTCTAATGGGTCTAAATGAAACATATGCCCAAGCTAGGAGTCAAGTGTTGCTAAGAGTCCCTGTTCCAACCCTCAATCAAGCCTACAATATGATAATGTAGGATGAAAGCCAAATGATTCAGTCCAATATGATATCACAACTCACACCAACACTGCAACAGATGAACTTGAATGATCCTACAACTCTAGCTGCCACACAAGACAACATGTTCAAAAGAAACTCTGGACCTTATTGTGATTACTGTAATATGAAAGGACATAGGAGAGAAAATTTCTACAAGTTTGTGGGATATCCTTCCAATCACAAATTCAACAAAAGGAGAAATTGTGATAGGCCACAAAGTTCAACCAGAAGCAAGTGAATCATCAGGGAATAGCAGCATGCCAATGTTCACCTCAGAGCAATATAATCAGCTTTTGAAATTAATCAGCCATGAACCAGCAGTTGCAGAAGCCAAAGTTAACATGACAGGTATAAAAGAATTCCTTGACACTTGTTTGCTTGCAGGTTCACAACCTAACTCCTAGATAATTGACATTGGGGCCTCAAACCATATGGCTTCTAGTCTGGACTTTTTAACTCAATCTACTCTTGTGTTTCCCAGTACTAGTAAAGTCCATCTGCCAAATGGAAACATTACATCAGTAACACATACAGGGTCATTAAATCTTTCTGATGATCTTGAATTATGTAATGTGCTTTATGTTCCAAATTTCAAATATAACCTGTTGTCAGTATCCAAACTTACCAAAGAGCTGAGATGTTGTGCATTATTCTTCCCTGAATTTTGCATTTTTCAGGACCTTTGCACTGGCAAGGTGAGGGGGATTTGTAATGAGAAGGATGGCCTCTACATACTTCAACCTGCCACGAAGCCATCACCTGTCAAAGCACCTAAGCAATCATCAGTCATAACATTCAATACAACATTACCTACTACAAATTCCTGTCCTGTTGCCTCTCTTGTTTCAGTTCCTGCTGCTTCTTCTGTGTCAGTTCCAGCTTCTACTTCAGCATCTACTTGTTCTCCATCAAACCATTCAGATCAGTGCTCTATATGGCACCAAAGACTTGGCCATGCTCCATTAGCAGTCCTATAGAAAATTCAATTTCTAAAAACCCATGAGTTGAATAAAGAGTAGCTATCTTGTACTATCTGTCCTTTAGCAAGGCAGACTAAGCTCCGCTTTCCTATTAGTCATAATAAAACTGTAACCCCTTTTGAACTTGTACATATGGATGCGTGGGGTCCATATAGACAATACACTTACAATGGATATAGATACTTTCTTACCATTGTAGATGACTATTCTAGAATGACTTGGATCTACTTGATGAGAATGAAAAGTGATGTGTTCTTGTTAATCAAGTCTTTTATTGTACTTGTTAAGACTCAGTTTTCTGCCTCTATCAAGATTATTAGGTCTGATAATGGTCTTGAATTTTTTAATGCTCAATGTGCAACTCTTTTTACTTCTCTTGGGATTGTCCATCAAAGTTCTTGTGTGCAAACTCCACAACAAAATGGAGTGGCTTAACGAAAGCACAGGCATTTACGTGAAATGGCTAGAGCCCTTAGGTTTCAAGCCCATGTCCCCTTGAAATTCTGGGGAGAATGTGTTCTTACAGTTGCCGTCATCATTAACAGATTGCCTTCTTCAGTTCTTTCAGGGAAATCTCCATATGAGTTATTTCATGGTCAACCACCTGTACTTACTCATCTTAAAGTGTTTGGCTGTTTGTGTTATGCAACCACACCATGCTTCACAGACAAGTTCTCTTCTAAATCCATTCCTGCCATTTTCATGGGTTACTCAGAGACTCAAAAAGGATGTAAGCTCTACAACATTTCCTCAAGAACCTTTTTTGTCAGCAGAGATGTCTCTTTTAGAGAAAATACATTTCCTTTTAGACATCCCAAGTCCACATTTCTGCATTCACATCTCCCTAACTCAACTCCTACCTTTCCTAGTCCGGCTCCTATTTCTTCATATGATGATACATTTCCTGCCAGGAATGATGTACCACCATGTTCACCTCCAACTTCTGTTGCACAACCAAAGCCCTCTAGTCCACAACCACCTCCATTTCCTGTTATGCATCCTAATCCTAATGCCTCACCTCCTTCTCCCATTGAGCCACAACCTACTCATATTTCAGATGTTACTTTGAGGAAGTCTGCCAGGACATCTAATCCTCCCTTGTGGTTAACTGATTATGTGCATCAGGTCCAGTCTACTTCTACTCTTATCCTATTTCTTCCTTCCTCAATTACTCTTCTTTATCACCTTCTTAACAAGCTGCTCAAGACAGCAATTGGGTACAGGCTATGAAGCTTGAGGTTCAGGCCCTCACTAACAATAACACCTGGGAGTTGGTAGCTTTACCTGCAGGCAAGACTCCAATTGGTTGCAAATGGGTTTATAAGGTGAAGTACAAGGCAGATGGGACTGTGGAAAGATACAAAGCTCGCTTAGTTGCCAAGGGGTTCACTCAACAAGAGGGACTGGATTACCATGAGACCTTCTCACCTGTGGTGAAGATGGTCACAGTCAGGAGTATTATTGCTCTAGCTGCTCAGTATGGTTGGCCCTTGCTTCAGATGGATGTGTACAACGCTTTCCTACAGGGTGATCTTTCGGAAGAAGTCTATAAGTATGCATGAAGGGTTTGGTAGTCAGCGGGAGACTAGAGTGTGTAGACTACTCAAATCCCTCTATGGATTAAAACAGGCTAGCAGACAATGGAATTTAAAGCTCACCTCAGCTCTCACAGAGTCTGGCTTCAACCAAAGCAAATTGGATCATTCACTATTCACTAAGAAGACATGGAATGCCATAGTGATTATATTGGTCTATGTTGATGATCTTCTGATTACAGGTAATGATAAGTTCTTAATTCAAGAAGCTAAAGACATACTGAATCACAATTTCAAGATGAAGGATTTGGGAGAGCTAAAGTTCTTTCTTGGTATTGAATTTGCAAGATCACATAAGGGAATCCTCATGAACCAAAGGAAGTATGTATTGAAACTTGTGTCAGAATGTGGTCTAGGAGGAGCAAAGCCCAGCATCTCCCCTTTAGACCAGAACATGAAGCTTACTAGTGTGGAATATGACAAGCTTTTTGATAAGCAAGGACATGACACAGAGCTTGAAGACACCAGAGTGTATCAGAGACTTATAGGGAGACTCTTGTATTTGGCAATCACAAGGCCAGATATTTCATATGCAGTCCAAGTTCTCATTCAATTTATGAATGCACCAAAACAGTCTCATTATGATGCAGCATTGAGGGTAGTGAAATATATCAAGAACTGTATAGTACAAGGTTTGTTGATGAGTAGCAAACAGAGTAGGAAAGTGTCTGCATTCTGTGATGTAGACTGGGCATCCTGCTCAGTGACTAGGAAATCTGTTACGGGCTTTTGCATAAAACTTGGAGACTCCATGATTTTTTGGAAATCCAAGAAACGGAGCACAGATTCAAGAAGTTCAGCAGAGGCTGAGTATAGAGGCATGGCAAGCACTGTGGCTGAGTTAACTTGGATTCATGGATTTCTGGAAGAATTAGGAATGCAAGTTGATCTGCCTATGGAGTTGTACTGTGATAACAAAGCAGCTATACAGATTGCTTCAAATCCAATGTATCATCAGCGCACAAAGCACATAGAGATTGACTGTCACTTCATTAGAGAAAAACTACAACAGGGCATGATCAAAACAGCCCATGTTCCCAGTAAAGATCAAATTGTAGATATACTAACCAAGGCACTTGGAAAACAACTACATAATGAGATGGTTTGCAAGTTGGGGATGATTAACATTTTTTCATCACTCAACTTGAGGGGGAGTGTTGAAAAGAGCAGTAGTAGCAATACTTGTACATCGGCTATTGGTGTTGTACATATTAGTTTGGAGTCAGTTAGTTAGTTTCACATGTACAGTTAGTTGAGTAGTTAAGCTAATTAATTTGTATTAAGTAGATAGGTAGTATAAATAAGGAGAAAGACACAATGTACATTGAGGCTTCTATTTTTTCTGAATAACAAAAAACAGAATATTCTCTCTCTTCTTTCTTCTTCTTCTTCTTCACCTATCATCTTCGCTCAATTCAGCTGAAGATACTTCATTTCAATAATTAGCATATTTATTGTTCTATTTTTAGATGAGAATATGCACTAATCATGTGTGTTTCAAATATGATTAGTGACACCCACCATTATTAAGTGACATTGAAGGTATACTCAGCGCATCGCGGGCATCCCCGCGAACGCACACATATATATAATTGCACCAATTAGTCCGTACTATATCTATCTTTGCCAAAAAATTTTAATAAATAATAAAGGTGTTCAATCTTTTGCCGGTGGGTATTTAATAAGAGTGTTTAAATAATAAAGGTGTTCAATCTTTTGACGGTGGGTTATGCAAAGATGTTCTGTATATTTTAATCAATAACAAGTTATATTTTACACTATACATAGCTTAATGTACTGAAATCCCCAATTTCCCACAAGTATAAAGAGTTGGGGAAATTAGAAGTAAGGGCATTGTGGTCCTCAGAAGTAGTAACGACTGTAGGCAGATAGAGCAATCACTGGCCTCTGAAATCTGCTTCTTTTATCACTTTTGAGAGTGGAAATCAGGAGAAACCAACCAACTTTGTAATGGGGAGTTCTTGTTTTCCCCAATCTCCACTCTCTCATTCTCTCTTTTCGTCTTCTTCTTCTTCATCACTATCTTCTTCCCAATTTACACCTTTGCTTTTTCCCCCAAGAAATGCGCAAAATTGTAAAAAGAAAAGGTCAGCTATGGCATGTATACACTCGGAGAATCAAAAGGAAAGCGATTTCTGCAGCAGAAGAACGATTCTTTTCGTGGGGTTTTCAGTTCTTCCACTTCTCAACTTAAGGGCAACGGCTCTTGAAGGCTTGTCAGTAGGTCAATCATTTTTCTTGATTATTTCCCTTTTTATTATTCGACATTGCTTGCTCTGAGTTGAAAAATAATAGGGTTCTTTAGCTTCTTTTTATCTTTAAGTCAAAATATGTTCTTTAATTTATAGAACCGGTGAATATGATAAAAGCCTCGTCCATTGCCATTTGGTCTTTTTTAATCAGCTGACACTTCTTTAATGGCAATTATGATTAGATAATTTGGCGATTCTTTAGGTAGATCTAAGGTGCACTAGTATACTGACTGTACTGTTTGCTAAAGGTATTTGGAAAGAATGTTGATTAAGAAAGTCTGGAATTGACAATGGTTTCCTGAGTATTCAGGTTTAATCAGCCTACCATTGAATGACAACTGCATTTCTTTTCTTATTATTTTTTCCCACAAGATTACTTGTCAAACTTTTCAATATCATTCATGTGCACTTGATCAGTGCAATAATGGACTTCTAGTTCAATTTAAGAGTACTGAGATCGACTTCCTCGTTAATAATTTCCGTCTCCAACTATATATATTTGTAGCTTGATCGTTATCGAGAACCTTACATACTTGATTCTCATGCTTTTTAGCGCAGTTCTTAATTATGTTCACTCGTTAAAGTATTATGGTTAGTGCAGACAAACAAAAGGTACAGAATTATTTTGTTGTCAGCTGAATTTCTAATTTTGTTTAGAAAACGAAATGCCAGGAAAGCTAAGCTTTGGTAAACGTTAAATTGCTTCCTTGGAAACTTATCTCGGCTTATGAAGTAATCTATTCCATCATTCATTTGTCAGTTTCTTATTGTAGAGTCACTTGATCCTCATCGCAACAGAGGAAAAAGAGAGATCGAAAGAACAAAAACTGGGAATGAGTCTGCAACCTGGATATTAAGAGTGGGTTTACCTATGTCTCTTTGACTCTGCTTTGTTCATCTGGTTGGTCATGGTGAAAGTATTCACTTCCAAACTTTGGGGTGAGGGGATGGAAAAGTAGCAGAAGTACATTTTCATATCAAAGACCAATAGATAGCACAGCTTCTTTCCATATTTTTTTTATTGCTAGGCTTATTTATCAGAAACTAGTGCATTCAATCTCCTTTCTGTGTAATTTTTTTTGGTACCTGAGTAGTAATATCTAGCATATTTCTGAAGATTCAGGGGCACTACTTACATATGTTGTTTGTGATTGTGGTTAATATCTGAAAGTTTTTGCTAGATATTGTGAACTTGTATTTGGATTGTGAAGGGTTTATATCCCACACCCTGATGCCTTTTCCAAAAAATGCTTAACTCAGCTCTCATCGTATTTCAGATTCTCAAGTAAAGGCACAGCCACAGAAAGAGGAGACAGAGGTCAGAATTTATGGCTAGCATCTCCTTGAGAAAAGATTGAGAGAGAATGCATTCTGCTATTGCTTCATTCTATATTATCATCAGCTTTATATGCTCTCAGTTTGAATGTTTTCTTGTAACCAGCAAACAATCCAAGGAAATGCAGAGAATCCCTTCTTTTCTCTACTTAATGGACTTGGAGTGTTTGGTTCAGGCGTGCTTGGTTCTCTTTATGCCTTGGCTCGAAACGAGAAGAACCTTTCTGATGCAACCATTGAATCTGTAAGCTAGATATGCTCTTCTCTATGTGTTCTGTTATATAAGTTTTCTGTAACTTTAAGTCTCAATGGACGCAGTTGGGATGGGATCTTAAAGCAAAGTGTTCCTATCATCTTACTGACATTCTATATCCATTACATGGTACAATTACTTCTGAAAGTATAATGTCCTTGAGCAACATTTCTTAGCAGAGACTGCAGAATACAATGGAGGGGCAACTTGTCTAAATTAGTCGCAGTTTGGCCTGAAATTAACTTACTGCTAACAGTTTAAACATAAAACATCTGCAAGTGATCTTAACATGCTTAGACCATTAGCTGAAACTTTATTCTAAATTGTAAGAATATAGGCAGAAAGGATGAGTTTTAGTTTCTTGGGTCGCTTTTACTAATTAACATCTGCTTTCATGTTCTCAGATGAAAAATAAGCTGAAGGAGAAAGAAGCTGCATTTGTTTCAATGGAGAAGAAATTTGAGTCTGAGCTGCTGAACGAAAGAGAAGTTCGAAATAATCAACTTAAGAGAGCAGGCGAAGAAAAGCGAGCTCTGGTTAACCAATTGAATTCAGCAAAGAGTACAGTAACTAACCTTGGTCAGGAGCTGCAAAAAGAAAGAAGATTTACTGAAGAGCTCAAAGTTAAGATCGAGGGCCTTCAAAATGACCTAATGCAGACGAAGGAGGATAAGAAGAAATTGCAGGAGGAGCTTAAAGAGAAGCTTGATTTGATACAAGTTCTGCAAGAAAAGATAACTCTGCTTACTACAGAGATCAAAGATAAAGAGGCGAGTCTTCAGAATACCACCTCTAAACTAGCTGAAAAAGAATCAGAGGCAGATAAACTGAGCACAATGTATCAGGAATCTCAGGATCAGCTGATGAATTTGACTTCAGAAATCAAAGAACTTAAAGACGAAGTCCAGAAAAGAGAGAGAGAACTGGAGTTGAAACGTGAATCAGAAGACAACCTGAATGTGCAATTAAATTCTTTGCTCGTTGAGAGAGATGAATCTAAAAAAGAGCTTGATGCTATTCAAAAGGAATACAGCGAATTCAAGTCTATTTCAGAGAAGAAAGTGGCTTCAGATGCCAAGCTGTTGGGGGAACAAGAAAAGAGACTACACCAGGTCGAGGAACAACTTGGCGCTGCCTCAGATGAAGTACGCAAAAATAAAGTGCTAATTGCTGATCTGACTCAAGAAAAAGAAAACCTAAGGAGAATGCTGGACGCTGAGCTGGAAAACATAAGCAAGTTGAAGCTAGAGGTCCAGGTCACTCAGGAAACTCTTAAGAAATCAAGAAGTGAAGCTTCTGATATGGCAGAACAACTACAGCTGTCGAGGCATCTTTGCTCTAAGCTTGAAGCTGAGGTTTCTAAACTTCAGATGGGATTGGAGGAAACAAGGACATCGTTACAGAGGAACATTGTCGAGACAAAACGTGGTGCAGAGCTCTTAGCTGCGGAGCTGACCGCTACTAGGGAGCTTCTAAAGAAAACAAATGAAGAAATGCACACTATGTCCAATGAACTAGCGGCTGTTACTGAAAATCGTGATAACTTACAGACGGAGCTAGTTGATGTCTACAAGAAAGCAGAACGTGCTGCTGATGAACTGAAACAAGAAAAGAATATCGTCGTGACACTGGAGAAAGAGCTAACATTTTTGGAGGCTCAAATTGCAAGAGAGAAAGAGTCACGGAAGAATCTGGAAGAAGAGTTGGAAAGGGCTACAGAATCACTTGATGAGATGAACCGAAATGCTTTTGCACTTGCAAAGGAGCTTGAGCTTGCTAATTCTCGTATTTCCAGCATCGAAGACGATAGAGAAGTGCTCCAAAAGTCTGTTTCTGAGCAAAAGCAAATTTCTCAAGAAGCCCGAGAAAACCTTGAAGATGCCCATAGCCTGGTGATGAAACTTGGCAAGGAACGCGAGAGTCTGGAGAAGAGAGCAAAGAAATTGGAAGATGAAATGGCATCAGCAAAAGGTGAGATTTTGCGGTTGCGGACCCAAGTAAATTCAGTAAAAGCTCCTGTTAACAAAGAGGAAAAAGTTGAAGCTGGGGAAAAGGCAACAGTAACAGTGAAGAGAACAACCAGGAGGAGGAAGACTGCTAGTCAGCCGGCTTCTCAGCAAGAAAGCTCATAGTTTGCTGTTTCTAAAGTGACATATCTTTCCTTTTTGTCCTTGACTCAAATTGATTGCGACGAGAATAGATTAATGGTGTATTATAGAGAAGCCAGAATTAGGATATTGCCTTTGAAAGAAACTTCCTGCAAGCTGTATTCTCAGTGAGTGTATATTTCCAGTCTAGAAGTTGCACAAACAATTTATGCAGTGTGTGTGTGATCTCTGGATATCATCCAGTCTGCTGCAACTTGTTGCAAATAAGAAATTTGGAATGGATTGCATGATATCCATGAATAAGAAATTTGAAATGTGTAAAGTACTGTCTCAGTTCCCCATGTTAGGCAGATAGTAGCATTTTTCCAACAATCAGTTATCAGCAGTACAAATGAACATGCAGCTGATACCATCTTTCTTAAAATAAAAGTGAATAATAATAAAAATCTATGAGCCGACCACAGTGGGAGTCGAACCCACGACCTTTTGATCCGAAGTCAAACGCGCTAATCCACTGCGCTATGCGGTCTTGTTTTTTTTTTTTTTTTTTTGGATGAAATAAGGTGTTTCATTAGTAAAAGGCATCAAGGAGATGCAAGTTACAAAAGTAATGAAATGCAGAAAAAAGAAAAAATAAGAATTGTAGCTCCCTTTACAGCAGGGAGCTAACAAAGTCCAAAAATTGGTCAGTGCTAATTACAAAAGCTAATTTAGTCCAACAAAAAGATTGAGTAGGCAATTAGCTTTGAGAGTGTGAATTGGAGTTGAGATTCCATCAAAACATCTTCTATTCCTTTCATTCCATAAACACCAAAAAATAGCACCAGGGATCATCAACCAGATTTTATTGATAGTCTTGTCAACTCTCCACAAACTCCAGCTCAAATGCGGTCTTGTTGTGCTCTACTTCCAACATACTACATATCTAAATCATAAAAATCTTTTGGCTTCTCAGAATCTCATTTGAAGTAGAACACCATATGAAGTAACAGTTTATTTAAGCGTTTTTTTTTAAGACTGAAAATAGCCTTGTGGATTGCAGTAATCTAGTCTGAACAAATAAAAGACACAGATTAAACTATTAAACTAATAAGCACGTCTATGATCAGGAACTCAGCTGCAACAAACTCCTGCCCAAACAAGTGAATAAGCGGCAAAATTTTTGAACAACTACATGACATGCAATATGACATACATATAAGCATTGATTTGGTCAAGGGGGCCAAGACCTCTCCTCTACTCATGTTGTGCATCTTTATTCTTCTTTTTCTTCTTCTCCTTCTTCTTGCTTTTACTTCCTTCATCGCCATCACTCCCAACAGCTACATCACCATTCTCCGCATCTTTATCTTTCTTCTTCTTTTTCTTCTTTTTCTCAGACTTCTCCTCATCTGAAGATGCAGCACCATCTTTTTCTTTATCCTTCTTTTTCTTTTCCTTTTTTGCCGTCTCTACATCCGGGGTTGCAGCTTCATCAGCTTCTTTCTTCTTTTTCTTCTTTTCTTTCTTTGTGACTTCAACCTCCACAGCTTCATCTCCAGCCTTCTTCTCCTCGACTATCTATCGGTACCATGCTGGCCATGTGTGTTTCTACCCATCATGGTTGGTCGATGACATAGCAGGAGAAGTCAAGTCGGGGATTGATTTGGGAAATAGGGTCATAGACGACGCTGTCGAGGCACAAGTCAAATATAGGAGGTTACATAGAAGAATTTTTGAATCTGAGGCCAGACATTTGGAACAGCACAAACTAGAGATGGAAGCAATCAATGAATGGAGAGGAATCGCTACTAAATCAACAGAGAGGTTGGAGTATTTAGAGTCAGGGCTGATGGAGCTTGAAGGTAGATGAGAACCCGGTTGCA